TGCGAGAGTGAACAGTACTGGGCTACCCGAGTCACATTCACTTAAGAGCAACTGGGCTGATAGAACTTAGCTGAGCACACAAGGATGTTAAGCATATATCGACAAAGTGGATGGACACTTCAAGCAATGGTTTGACCTCAAGCAAGCCTGCTTCATCTAAGATATCAAGAGTGTAGTTTCGTTGGGATCTTGAAATGCCATCACTAGAACGAGCAACTTCAACACCAAGAAAATAGCGTAATTGGCCAAGGTCCTTGATGTGAAATCAGTGAGGATGGACTCTTTAAGAGCAGCAACTTCATTATCATCATTCCCGATTATGATCATGTCATTTGCATAGATGCCAAGGTACAGTTCTCAATACTACCTTGAAAATCAATAATCAATTTGGTTCTTTCGAATTTCTCTTTTTGTTAGTAAATTGCATCAAATCTTTGAAGATTAGACCCCAAATTATCTAACGTCAAAATTTCATTTTTCAATTTATTTCCTCTACAGCAAAACCTAATGTGTAATCAAAATTCATATTTAAATAATATTATTATTTTTGCCTAATGCTCAATCCATACCTAATAAACCATGTCATTTTTGCCTAGTTAAAGAAATTACAGCAATACATTGGACTGGGAAATGGTACCCACTATTCCCTCAAAACAAACGTTGAGATGCCTTTTTTTTTTTCTAATGAATTTGATTTTTTAAAAAAAAAAAACTTTTCTTTGCTAACAGGCTATTATGATGAGATGAAACGTGTGTCATTAGTAAAACAATAATTTTTTGCCCAATAAATAGTTTCTCATTACTAGTGGATTGTTTATTCAAAATAGTAAGCTTAAATCGAAAATACAATTTTGATTTTATAACTGTATGATTGCTTTGTAATGTGCGATTCTAAGGCTGACTGAGCCTTGGCTCGTTTTGCATTCCCTTTTTGTGAAGCTCTTTCATCTGTAAAAATCACTGTCTTGATTCTATTAGGATTTTGAGCCATTGCTCCGAGAATTACGTCACATGTGAAGCAGAACTTGCATTTCTTAAGATTATGGAAGGTCAGTACTTGGCTAAGTCCATAATGTGATGATGCATGAGCATACTAATTATTTTTCAATTTGACGAGTGGTTTCATACTTTATTTTTAAAATTTTTAAATATAATATAAAGAATCGGGTTGCACCAGATCGAACCAGAACCGGAACCGGGTGGTTCGGTTCTGGTTCGATTCTATAGTTAAATATGGAACCGATGGTTCCATTTCTACGATTCTTATTAGTATTCGGTAGGGCTGGACATGGTCCGATTCGGTTCGGTTCTCCCAAAATTTTCGAGTATTTAATAAATGGAACCGTCGGGTCCAAATATAATTTGGAACCGTTCGTGTTCGGTTCGGTTCGGTTCGGTTCGGTACCACATTTATAACAACACTACATAAATGTAACTAATAACATGTTCATTCGTAACTATTACAAATTAACGTAGCTCAATTTAAAAACATATAAATAAAAAGTTGTCCAATAAGATTAATTCAATATATACAAATACCAAAAAGTAGAAAATTTCAAAATTATTTAAATTTGCTAATTTGTCTAGAAAAAATTAAAATTAATTAATTAATTTAATATAAAAAATTAAAAAATTTATTTAGATTCGGTTCTTGGCCTAGAACCGAGAAACCGAACCAAACACATCGGCTCTCGATTCAAATACCCGTTCAAGTATTTAATTTATGAAGAACCGCTCGGTTCAGTTCGATCTGGTTCAATTCGAGACTTTTGTCCAGCCCTAATATTCGATTCGATTCAGTTCCTTTCAGAATTGGACCAAATCCGACCGCATCCACTCCTAATTTTCATCATGGGGTACCTGCATATTTGTGCTGAAGACAAAATGGAAAGATAGGTACCAGTGAGGATGGATATGACTTGATTCGTACTAATAACATGTTCATTCGTAACTATTACAAATTAATGTAGCCTAATATAAAATCATATAAATAATTAACTGTCCAATAAGATTAATTCATTATATACAAATACCAAAAAGTAGAAAATTTCAAAATTATTTAAATTTGTTAATTTGTTTAGAAAAAATTAAAATTATTTAATTAATTTAATATAAAAAATTAAAAAATATTATTTAGATTTGGTTCTTGGCCTAGAACCGAGAAACCGAACCAAACACATCGGCTCTCAATTCAAATACCCGTTCAAGTATTTAATTTATGAAGAACCGCCCGATTCAGTTCGATCTGGTTCAATTCGAGACTTTTGTCCAACCCTAATATTCGATTCGGTTCAGTTCCTTTCAGAATTGGACCAAATCCGACCGCATCCACTCCTAATTTTCATCATGGGGTACCTGCATATTTGTGCTGAAGACAAAATGGAAAGATAGGTACCAGTGACTGTGAGGATGGATATGACTTGATTCGATCTTACTTTCATAGTTCAATTTAGTTTGGTTCGAATGAGAATCGGATACCTATAAATATTCTACGAATATAATCAAACATTAGTGACAAATTGAAGCAAACCAGAATCGATTAGTTTTGATTCGGCCACATTGCTTTTATGTTTCACAAGAATACAAATGTAAATTGATATTCTCAATTCACTTTCTTGCTTTCTTTTCCTTTTTCATTATTATTATTATTATTATTTTTGCAGGCGACAAAAGTGTTCAATGTAATGACTAATGTATACATATTATTTTATTTAAGTTAAATTTCAATTAATTTAATCAAGAGATTTTAATTAAGTATTCTTGAATTGATTAAAATTAATTGTTAACTTTGACTTAATTAAAATCTAGGTTTAACGGGGAAAAAGAAAAAATCTATACATTAATCCTTCTCCGTCTTGTTTCTACGTGTCCCAATTTTTTACTACTTTCGATTCACCACCGAAGGTTTAGACTACGTTCATATTTAGCCCATGTTTGGTATAGATTTAAATTAGATTTTTAGTAAATTTTAATAAAAAATAATGAAATATCTTCTATATCTTCTATATATTAAAAGTGGCTATGTAACGGAATTTCTTGTTTTTAACGGAAAAACTGACGGAATTTGTTGTTTTAACGGATTATGTAACGGAATTTCTTATTTTAAACAGGCAGCTGCACCTTTCTCCAGTATTTTTATCATAACTTTGTATTCCGATATTCGATTGAGGCGATTCAAAATACGTTGGAAAGCTAACCCATCTGGCTACAACTTTGATTCAGACATCATTCTCCAATTCGANCTAACTCATATGGCTACAACTTTGATTCAGACATCATTCTCCAATTCGATCACTTTCTATGCCAAAAATAGGTCTCAATATGAGACTAAAACATCGGAGCATAACTTTTCGGTTGGAAATTGATTTGTAATCATCTTTTGACTAAATTTGATTCCATTGATGTCTTCCTTTATCCAATTGACTCTGAACACTCTCAAATCTTTATCGTGAGTTCGGCACAACTTTCAAGTATTTACATTTTAGTCCCCGAACTTTGGATCCCTTACAATTTAGCAATTTCTCCAAATTTGTCAACTTTTGCTTATTTTCTTCGATCTCACCAACTTACATCACAACATCAAAATCACACATCTAATTATTTATCAATTACATAAACATTACATCATTAATTATTTAATTAACCAAAAAAATTACATCTTTATTAATAACAAATTAATTCTTAAACAAAACTATT